TTTTATAAGTTGTATCTCTAAATCTTATCCTTTATGACTTCTTGAGCATATGTCTTATGTAGGAAGGCTTTCCACTCCTGAGTTTATACAAATATTTTTGTAAGTTTTCTTCTAATATTATTATTGTTTTGTTTTTTATGTTTAGCTCTTTAATCCATCTGGAAATGATTTTTGTATATGGTGTGAGGTAGGTATCTAAGTGTATTTTTTAATGAATAGTTCATTGTCCCAACACTTTTATTACTAACCCATCATTTCATATTATTAAATTCCAATATTTATATATGGGTCTACATCTAGACTCTCTAGTTTGTTTCATTAATGAATTTGTCTATCCCTATACCAAAACACAGTGTGTTCATTGTATAGCTTGATAAAAATGTTTGGCTGGTAGACTAAATCTCCATCATTGTCCTATCTCAACAAGATTTTATTGGATATTTACTACCTTAGGTGAATTTTGGATTCATCTTGTCAGTGTCCATGTACCATTTCACTGGGGGCTGCATTTAGATTGTACTGAAATTTTAGATTAATTTGAGGAAGGAATGACAGGTTTATGATATTCTTCTTATACAAAGAAATGATAAAACTTTCCATTGATTTTAATTTAATTTAATTTGATTTTTTCACTACTTTTATTTAAACTGTTTTCTGTTAAGGTTTACGTCTAGGTGTTTTAAAGGGTTTTATTACTATTGTACAAACTGTTATTTCTCATTGTACTCTTAAGTCATTGCACTGATATAAGAGTATTTTGGCTATTATATATTTCACTTATATCTGGGTAACTTACTAATAGAATAGTTTTAATTGCTTTTTAGTTTATTGTTTCCTTTTCAATATTTCTATCCTATTTTTAATTTCTCATTTTATTGCACTGGCTAGAGCTTTCTCAACAGTGTTTCATGAAATCAGTGGCAGAAGTAATCTTTTATATTTCTAATGTTTTACGAACTATTCTGATATGTAGCATTTTTTTTTTTGTTTGTTTGTTTTGTTTGGTTTTTTTTCTCTGGTACCGGGAACCGAACTCACGACCTTGCGCTTGCCAGGCAGGCGCTTTGCCGCTGAGCTAAATCCCTAGCCCCTGATATGTAGCATATTGAGTGAAAGATGTTATCTTCTGTTACTAATGGATTAGGACTTTTAATCAGAAGAGAGTATTGGAAATTCTAGGCATTTTTGAAAGGAATTTTTTCTTTTTCTTAATTTAGTAAATATAAACACATATTTCCTAAGGGTGAGACCTTCTTGATTTATATTGTAAATCTTATTGAATTATAATATGGGATTCTTGTGATAGATACATTGTTGACTTGATACTGCTTAGATTTGGAGACTGCATTCATAATAGATAATTTTATACATATAGAGATTAAATTATGTTTTTCTGTCTTCATATTTTAAGGCTATAAATTAAAGTGACAATTGTGTTATCAGAGATATTTAAGCCAAAGAGAGTGGTTTGAGAAAGTTTCTGTATTGTTTTTGTTTTGCAAAAATATAAACAGGATGGAAAATTTTAGTAGAGCTCACCCTTGGAACCATCTGCACCTTGTATTTCTAATGCATGAATTACTTGTGCTACAATTTTAATTGTTTTTATATTCACATTTTCTGCTTTTCATTATTATTTTCTAGTAAATCAATCATTGCCTTTATATTTGAAAATTATTGTTTTGTTACTCTTAGAATTGTATATTTATCTCCGCTACTCTCCACATGACCTTGTCATGGGTTTATATAACTTTTGGAAGAATGAGCAATTGATTGTATAGGTCATTTGCTTTCTGTTTGTTTGTTTTGTTTTGTTTTGTTCCATTCCAAGCTATCAATTTATTTTATTTTGTCTTTACAATTTATTTCTTGTTCATTTTTTTTTGCATTTGTTTTTAGGTCTCTACTATCCTTTATTTTGAAACTTTATTTAGCTTGTTATATTTTAACTATTTTTAAAATAATTACTTAGATGTTTATGTATTTTTTCCAAGGATTGCTTTAGGTATATCCCTATGTATACAATGAATAGGATTTTGGTTAGTGCCATAATACATAATTTCACCTTATTTTCATGTTCTCTTTACCAAGTAGTTTTTTAGTTGCTGAAAGGGAACATTTTAAAAGGTTGTCTTTTTCTTGTTAATTTCTGTTCTACCTTTTTTAAATTCAAGAATATTTCTTATTTGTATTTTATATGTACTTTTCCTCTTAGAATTTCAGATTTTCTTTGAGGTTTAATATGAATGATTGTTTCTTATAAGCTTTTATAGTTTAATTAAAATTTAATTTATAGTTTAATTAAAATTATAATTTAATTAAAATTATTACCTGAAAACTTTTTAAGCAGTCTGGTAGACATACACAGTCACAACATGTTTCTATTCACTGGAACTCACTATTTTTGTTTTTGAAATGTATCTTAATTTACATTAGCATCTTGACCTTTTAATTTGTGAAAACTGCTTTAGATTCCTATTATAATGATAGCTTTGCCAGTTTCCTTTTGTTCATATCTTGTCTTTAACTATATATATATATATATATATATATTTTTTTTTTTTTTTTTTAACTGGGGATAGAACCTAGGCCCTTTACTGTGAACTACATCCCCAGCCCTCTGCAATTTTTTTATTCTGAGGCAGGGTCTCTGTAAGTCATTAAGTTGTGCAGGTTAAGTATGACCTTATGATTCTCTGTCTCACTCAGCCAGAGCCCTGGAATTAGAAGCATGTGCTACTATGCTGTTTACACATTCTTTATACTTATTTTATAGAGCATTGCTATGCTAATTGAGCATAAAATTTCATGATTATTTTAATGATAAATTTTCCATCTTTAAATATGATATTAAATGTGATATAAAAATGACACAAACCACTTTATTTCATTCTTAACTTTCTGAATTCCTTTTACCAATACACTTGTGAAACAATATAAAATGTATAAAAATCAATAAAAGAACTGGCCGTAAATACCTGTATATTCATAAATACTTATATGCAAAAGTATATATTTATATGCATATATATGGACAATTATATTTTTAATTTCATTTCTTGCAATTTTATATCCTTTTATTTTCAATTTGTTTTGCGATTTTGTTTAGATTTGGCTTTTCAAAATAACATGAATCTTGTTCTTCTTTATCTAAAATTTTCTTAAGAGGTAGTATAACTCATTTGTATTGGCCATCTACAATAATTTTTTAAACTTCTTTTTCATTTTGTACCTTATTGTAATTATTCCTATTTCTTTTGATAGTCTTCTTGGTATTGATGAAAGATTTTTAGTTATATTTTCCTAAAGCTGGTTAGGAGTCTGTATTTACTACTGCTGTCCTTCTATAAGCTGTTTTAAAATTTTAGCAAGCATACTTAAAATTTAAGTTATACTCAACAACTGACTAGTGTCTGTGAGATCTTTTCCCTACTTTCTAAATGATAAATCCTTTATCATTTGTTAGTTATTTCTGTAGCTACTGTTTGATGCATTTATTGTTGAAATTAACTAGATAAATCTAGTTTCATTCTAGATAAATGTTTGTAGTAGAAGTTATAGTAGTACTATTAGCATTTTTGGGTACTATTATTTAATTTATGCTCCATTTTACAGGAAGCCTTTATTAGTATTGTATTTCCTTTTACCATCCAATTAGCAATTATTATTTACATTTAAATAGCATTTTGTGACATTTTTCTTTACATTGTGTGTAATCTTCCAAGTCTTTGTATATCTTAGATCCTTTTTTTCTGTTTTTCTAGAATGTCTCCTCAGTGAATTTCTGCTTCTTTATTTTGTGAAAGGCTATATGTAGTGAAATGTCTGAGTCTTTGCTTTGTGCAGAAGAAATACCTTCTGTTGTCTTTATACTTGATATGGTTTTATCCTGATTATAAAAATCTCAGGCTCAAAATAACTTTCCATAAACCCATTATTATCAGTTATCTTCTAAAACTCTTCAAGTGGACGAGGAAAACACGATTTCCCATTTTAGAAACAAGCCTTCCCAAGTCATTCTTCCTGAAATGCTCATCATTTCTTCTCCTCCAACATGTCCACCATGCAAATGAGGAATTCATATTAATAGTTTATAACAACATCTATAAAGAACTCTTCTTTAATCAAAGATAAGGTCTTTTGTACCAACAAACTCCATGTATTAGCCAAAAAAAAAAAAAAAATCTAATTTCTATAGCTCTATTTAGCAATGGTACAGTTAGTTCCTGAGTTTTAAAACATGCTGGGAATTTTCTTCCACTTATGCTAATACCTCTAGCCTACTGGGCAATGAAGTTCTCCCTAATGTTTTCCTCAGGGAAGGGTACCGTGCGTTTTTTCCCTGTCAGTCACTCTCTCTTGCCCTTGGCTTTCAGATGGATAAACCCACAAGTGGCTGATGTCCTTCTCGGGCTATTTTTGAAGAGTGTCTCCTTACTGACCTTTGATATCTTACTAAAAACTGTCATAAGTTCTTATCCTAGCCACCTGGTATTAGCACATGGACACCATGCTCCTGGAGCTTCTCTGTGTGCTTCTTTTGAAATCCTAAATTCTGAAACATCAGGATTGCGAGGAATACTATGCCTTCCCCACCTTAGCCAATGAGTCTGGCTTGATGTCTGTGATTCTTGTAGGATCACTCAGTGATTCTCCTGACTTCTTTTTGGACTTCTCCTTAAGGCAAATTTTAAGATTCTTCTGTAGTAGCACATTTTGCAACCTTCTCTCTCATTTGAGATCACTTGGTGATCTTTCTTTCCACCCTAGGTCAAGGAATTTACCCTCCCTCAGTTACTACCTGTAATTGCTCTTTTAGCTGTCTCTAGTGTTGTAAATGCCCATGTCTGTGTCTCTGCTCAGCCTCAGATACAAGTTGCATAAAATTGTGGCTATCAGAATCAGATGCATGGAGAGTGCGTCTTGTGTGAAAAGTGCAGAATGACAGGACTAGTTCTGGCTATCTGGTCACTCTGCGCCTCTGTCTTAACCCTCTTTAGGTAGGAGGACATACCATGCTCCCCATCCGCTGGATGCCCCCTGAAAGCATCATGTACCGAAAGTTCACAACGGAGAGTGATGTGTGGAGCTTCGGGGTGATCCTTTGGGAAATCTTCACCTATGGGAAGCAGCCTTGGTTCCAGCTCTCAAACACAGAGGTAAACGGGGTGAGGGGCATAGGAATCTTGATTTGGAGGCAGGCTGATAAGAGAGATCTCAAGCTTGGAATTGGACATAATGTATGAAACATCAGGTGGGATTTGGAACCAGCAGAGTGAATGTAGGCATAAGCAGGAAGAGAAAGATTCTCTGTGGGGGAAAAAAACTGTGATTGTAGGAAATGTGGAATAATTTTCAAAAGAGCATGAAATCAGATGTCTAAATTGAGACACAAGTCACGGTTCTGTTTGTTCTGCTTGTTACACTTAAAAATCACAAATGTTTCACTAAAACAGCAATGAAAACAAAGAAAAACTATGAGTTTTTCAATTGTGCCATCTTGTGGAAATACCTACTGCTTAGTATGTCCAAATAATCTGGGTTCCCAATGGTTTTAGGCATGCCAGGCCCAGGGGTGGAGAGGGATGGTGAATTGAGAAGCTCCAATTCTTGTAATTGATTAGGCTATGTGTAGGCTTCCAGGAATAGCATAAATCATAATGGTAAACTTAATGATAGCAAATATACTGCATTCTATAATTTTAATATAAAATAACAATAAAAATAGTAGTAAGTGAATTTTAATATTAACTAACATTTAACACTAGGTATTTTGCTAAGCACATTAGATATAGAAAGTCAGTAATTTTGACAAAAACACCTGTTGAGACCCAGGACAAAGGAAAAGGGGTTGTTTGGGGCCCTGGAGTAGAGAAGCCAGGGCTTCAGAGGTGAGATCCCTGGGGCAGAGAGAGAGGTGGGCTCTGGTCCCAGGCTCTCCTGCCTCCAAATCATCCAGATGCTTCTTTAACATGGGTGGACCAGAGCTATGTTGCCCAGGGAGTTAGTATAAGTCAGGGACAAGAAGAGGATCAGTCTCCTACACTAGCTGACCTATAAGAACTTTCAATTCTTTCCATGGTCTTCTGTTTTCTGGTAAAACATGAACACAAAAGCTTTTTAGTATCTAAATCTTACTGTAAGATTTAGCAAAGTGTGCTTCTGCTTAGAAGCTGTGTTCCTTTTTGCTCTTCTATATTCTGACCACTTAATAAGTGAAGTTCAAAGATTGAAAAGAAAGCTGTTTTTTAAGTCTGTATTATCTTACCATTCACAAGCTTAACGGGGCCTAACCACATTTCCTAAAGTAGGACAAAAGATTTTGCCAACCTTTTAAAATAAGGAAAGAGTACATGTCAGAATCCATATTATGGTGTTTAAAAAAATACTATTTTCCTGGAGGGTGGGAAACACACATGCACAAGCACATGTACCCACATGCCTACATGTGCATGCTGACAAGGATGTGGATGAGCTTGACAAAGCCCCTGTATAGTTTGGTGATCTAAAAAAAGATAGGCTCTGGAGATAGGGTATTACTGCTCTTAGCAGAAAACCTGTCCTGGACACCTGAGCTGGCTCACAGTACCTAACAGAGTGTTTGTGTTTTCCTCTAAGACTGCCTGGTGAGGCACTGCCCTTGGAGGCAGGCTTCCTGCCCCCAGCCACTTCCCCCACTCCACCCACCACAGCAGCCAGGTACTGGAAGTCATTAATAATGGGTTTCTCTATAAAAGTTGACAACATAGATGGTATCACATTAGAAGAGACACTACTGAGTGCTTTTGATCTTAGCATCAGAAGCTGTTACAGTGGTTTGAATTGGATCCTTTTTCATGGAGGTGAAAGTAATAGTAGTAAAAATTGGGCTGTCATACCAGTGGGGAATAAGAGTAGCTAGAGACCTAGCAGCCCTGCAGAGAAACGAGCCTAGTGTGCCATCACAGACTCCAGGAGGCTGCTGACAGTAGCTTGATAGGCCCTTCCAGGTCAGAGTGGTAGCACATTGGGTAGCACATGATGATACAAAAGAAGAAAGAAAAGCAGTTGTGTTGCCCAAGTAAATATAGACTAATAGGGACAGGGAAGAGGGCCATTTGTTCAGCTACTGGACTAGAGCTTATTCTGTTTATTTTTATCTTCACAAACAATTTTCCAATGTGGAAACTGAAATTCTGGGTAAGTAACTTGCTTGGTGTTACACAGTGGTAGAAACAGGGATTAAAATAAGTCTGAAAACTACAAGATGAAACTTGAAAATTCACATATTAAGGTTCAGCCTTGGGCTGGGGGTGTAGCTCAGTGATGGAGAACTGACCTAACATCCATAAAGGTCTGGGTTTGATCCACAGCATTCCCTCCCACCCCCAAGAGAGAAATACGCTGCAAACTATAGAACTGGTCCTGACGTGGTCTGCTATGCATTCACATGTTTTGTTTCTACTCTTTCTGGCCACACTTTCAGTATACTGACCACATGGTTCCTTTTCTTGGCTTCATGTGGTCTTTATGCTACTCCTAGGAGGAGGTCAAGTCAGATATTTGATTCCTGTTTTACCAATGAGGATGATGAGATCCTGTGAGGTTAACTGACTTGCACTGGCAGCTTAGCAGGTAGTGGTAAGTCAAGTGGTTAGTCTTAGCATTAAAGACTGTTGACCAGAACCCACTAGTAGGAGATATCAGTATAAATTCATGTTTAGTTTAACATATACACACAGATGGTTCCACATAAAATACTTATAATTAGGTGTGTATCTGTAGGTTAGAACACACACATAGTACTTTGCATTGTCAATTGTGAGGGTCAAGATTCAATGAGCACATTTAGGGGCCAGATATAAGTTTTTAGCATCATCCTCTAATAAAAGTAACCAGAGCTTTCTGAAGAAATAGCCAAGACTAGGGCTGGCAAAGTAAGTGTAAGAATCAAGATAATATCGAAGTATCAGAAAGAAATGTAGAATAAAAATATGAAATTATATCAAACCCTAGGGGTCTCTCATTGGGAAGGATTCCCAATCCCTAAAGCAGGAATGAACTGAGCAATGAAACACTGTAGAATTCAATAATAAATAAAAGCGTAAAGTAAAGCAAAACAAAACAAAAAAGACTTTAAAGGATGTAAGATACATGGCACCATACAAAGAAGAAGGAAGTAAGGGTTCTACACTCAGAAGCAAGTCTGGTTGTGTACACAGAGGTTTTGACTGAGAAGGGAAGAAACTGAATAGTTGGTCCTAACAGCAAATATGTGAGCAGGGACCAGGGAGTGCAGAGTTATTTTAAGGGGCTTTTAAAGTCACACAGACTCGTAAGAAGGGGAAGGAAAGGTCAGAAGTCAATCACGACAAGCAAGTGGAAGATGAGTGCAACTGAGTCAACCCAAATGAAATTCAGGATCATAACAGAATGAAGCAAATGGGAAAGTGGTATGTTGGGCATCAGTGTCAGTGTGGGTCTGGTCCAAGGGGCAGCTTTCAAAGAACAGCAATGGGTTCCATCAGCCTGTGCTGATCATTACCCCCAGAAACACTGCATAGACCCACATGAGAACAGATACCGCCTGCAGCCCGGGCTTGGGGATACTCCGCTCTGCACTGACATTATTAATGAACTTGCTGCCTTTCCCTGGGCAGGAGCAAATATAACTTTGAACATAACTTCCTTCTTGTCCTCTGTCTTTAAGGTCATTGAGTGCATTACTCAAGGTCGCGTCTTGGAGAGGCCCCGAGTCTGCCCTAAAGAGGTGTACGACGTCATGCTGGGCTGCTGGCAGAGGGACCCGCAGCAGCGGCTGAACATCAAGGAGATCTACAAAATCCTCCATGCTTTGGGGAAGGCCACCCCAATCTACCTGGACATTCTTGGCTAGTGGCAGCTGGTGGTCAAAAATTCGTACTCTGTTGCCTCCTCTCTCCCTGCCCACATCTCCCTTTACCACCTCACAACTCCTCTCTTCCTTCCCTGACTGAAGGGAACATCTTCATATAAACTCAAGTGCCTGCTACACATACAACACTGAAAAAACGAAAAAAGAAAAAAAAAGGAAAGAAAAAAAAACCTTGTAAGGCAGTTTGGCTATATACATATATATATATTTATATATCTATCTATCTATATCTATAGAGAATATCTTCTCTAATACAGAGAGAAGCTGCTGATTTAGAAAACCGTAAGACTTTAATGACTGAAAATCTTAAATATCATTAACGTATATGAACATTCCCTTGACTTAAGCTGTGGACTGCGCTATTTCCGCTCTAGGGTTTCTTGAGCAGATCTTGACCCTGCAGAGAGACGATCTTTGCTTTGGGATGGGAGGAGCTCGGGTGACGCACAATCACTATTGCAGACGCGTGCCACTACCAGGCGCATGTGCAGACTGCATCGACCTTGCTCAGCCCGGAAGTGACACCAGAAGACCAGGGTCCTTGGGAATGCCTCCAGTCTACCCTGACTTTTGCCTCTGCGTCCTTCTCCTTTGTCTCCAGTTCTGGACAATGTTCTGATTGGTCCATTCTACAGAGTATATTCTTGATGTTTTTGGGAAGTGTTGACGGCACCTACCAATAGACACCGAACAACACCGCAAAACCCAGACAAGAGCAGACTGCATCTATTTTGAATGGAAACCACGCCCAAGTTCCTTGCTAGATTCAAAAAGGATTTGTTCTTCTATCCTCTGAACTTCGAGAACTGCTTTCTGGACTAAAGAACCACAGAAGAATAAATAGCTGAAACCCGAACCCCAACAAGGCACTGCCACATGTCTTTCCGTCACTGGAAGGACTCCTTGGTCCCGCTGCCCATTTTCAGGCCCTTGGGGAGTTTTGGAGGGAGGGAAATAGGTTCCCTCCTATTGGCTGCTAAAGTGGACAGAGCAGGTTTCAGGGGCCCAGTCGCAAGAGACTTAGTTGGTTATTGGTCATTATTAGGTGTGCTCCCTGGTCCTGTTTCTCGTCTTGTTTCCCTATATCTTAGCCCCACCACCTAGGCTTCTGCCAAGTACTAAGTGAGCCCCACGGCCAGGGAAAGAATCCAGGTTTGGTGAGAGCCTGGGGCAGTGTGTGCTTGAGGGAGGCAGGCAGTGGCATGGGCGCAGCCAGCAGGGAAGAATCTACACACGTGTTACCTGTGCCGGGGCCCTTGGCATTCTCCTCACGTTTCCAGCCCCTGGAAGGATTGATGCATCTGCCTTTGAGCTTGTGAAAAGGCAGGCACTGAGAAATCACTTTTGTGCGCTGCGGATGGGGGAGGGGCTGGGGCTGCTCTGGGAGATGTCCAATGAGTGGCCAGTACTGTAGGCTGGACATCTTGATGAGGACTGAGTGCTGACCAGGGAACGCAAATGAAACATCTGGGCTAGGGCCAGCATTCTGTGCCCCAGCAACCAGGGGAATCTCTGCATTTGTGCTGCTGCCAAGGACCTCTACGGAGCAGATCTCTGGCCTCTCCAGCACAAGACAAGGAAACGCACAGAGCCCACTGCTGGGGAGGAGACATGCCCTTCCTAGGGCACCAGGTCCATCCACCTCACTTCAAGCACAGTGCTACCTAGTGGTCGGACCTTTTCCTAACTGAATCATCCTGGGAGCCTCTGCCTTGCTCCCTTCCCTGCTAACTGAAAAACTGCGTGCAGCCTGGATGCCCTGGTCAGCTGAAAGCAGCTAAAGTATGGGAATCCCTCTGTAGGGTTTAGGACTGAATGATGTGCTTGTGATTTTGCTTTTTTTAGATCCCAAAATGTTTTTATTCAAATAGAAAAGAGCTGTGCTCCGATTGTAGCCACGGTTGGGATTCAGGAATCAGCAAGGCTACTCAGCTGGACTGGGAAGAGAGCTAGGTGAAGGGGAATTGGGGATGGGTCTTCTCACTGTGCTGTACACCTAGCCTCTGAGGGCTTTGGAGGAAAGCTTTTTAGGTTGACCACCTCAAGAGAACCCTTTGTTATCATCCTGCAGCAATTACTGCTTTTATTGTTCTACTCTTTGCTTCACCCGAGGCCCTTGGTCTGGGTTGGGGCTGTGAACGCTGGATGGAAGGGCACAGTCTGGTTTTGATCTGGAAAGATGTTCAGGGAGGGAATGACCTGGAGGGGCCTGAGGGGAAAAAGTCTTCTGGATAGAAGAGATCCTTCAGCGCTCCTCTTGCTGCCCTTCTCCCATATCCTCTGCCAACATATACTATGTGGCTTTGATCTTCTTGGCTATGTGTGTGTAGAACCTCATAGTCACTGATGGGCTGAATAAAAGGGGGAGAAGAAATGGGTTGGAGGTTAGCAGACAATTGGGCATAAAGAATGTGTGAGTTTCAAGTCAGGGCATTGAGTCATCATTGCCAAATAAGACAAGATAATTCCTTGGGGAACGAGGAGCACTGAAGGAGACTGAGCTTGTCAGCTTGCCTTTGTCTTAGTCTCACAGCCCTGTGCATTGCCACTGGGGTCATGTCTTGACTATGTACAGCATAAGCAGCCACCTCTGGAAGAGTGTGCAAGAGAGAGTGGCAGAATCAAGAGAGGGAGAGAGGGACAAGCTATTTCAAAGTACTTTCTTGCCCTCTGTAGTGTGTACATGTTAACCAAAGCAGGTATAGAAAATGAAAAAAAAATTTAGAGTGTAAAGGAGGCAGAGAATAGGGCTATGGCCTAGGGCTGTGCAGAGCATTTTATTCCTCCTGTTCTGACACAGGACCAGTAAGGCCTACTTCACTGTCTTGGGTTCCTGTCTGTAATATAAGGGGTGTCCCTGCTAATCTTTGGCCCTTTTCTGGCTCTGAATGCTTACATTCTAGCAGCATCAAGATACTGTGTGAACTTTTCTCAGCATCACTCCGGAAGGTCTGGCTGGCCTCCCTCAGGCCTTGGGTGGGTTGGGGGCAGTTGCCTGTGAGGGCACACTAGGCTTATGCTGGGATTACTTCTGAGAAGTCCTCTTCTCTTTTATACCCATGTCTGCAAAAGTCAGAGTCTAAAAAGAGAATACTCTAGACCCACAGAAAGCACTTGTTCTCGTTCTCCATCTTAGCCTTTCTATGTACCAGAAAAACACTATCTAAGATTTATTTATTTATTTATATATTTATTTTTATAGAGCCTAATGTGTTTAAATGAGTCACGAAATCATATCTTGTCAGCTAATGTGGCTGCTCCGGTGTACTCTATCCTCCTCCTCTCATGCCCACAATATTTTACACCTTAAAAGAGCACAGCAGATGGATTCTGAGAGCTTCCTTTGAAGCAAGTTGCATGTGGCAATTTCTGAACATTCCAGGGAACCGAGGATGATGTCCTGGCCATGCTGTTCTCACCTGGTCCCGTTTTTAGAATGAACATAAGTGACTTGCAGTCAGATGTCTGCCTTTGAGCAAGATACCATGGCCGGGGGTCCTCCATGTTTCTTTTGGCTTTGGACATGAACCAAATGCTGGCCTGTAATTATATCTCTGATCTTTGAGTGGACCCTGGAGGTCACTAAGCCTCCCTTAGTCAACAGACAAAGGACTTGATGCTTCCGCCACTTAGCAGGCTACGCACAGATTATCTCGGAGAGAGGCTTCCTACTAGAGGTAAATGGTCTTTTGATCTTCCAGGTTCAGGCTGAACATTGACATTCTTCTCTGGCAATGCTCACTTCTCGGAATACACTAGTGCAAGTATTTCTGGTGCTAAATACTACAGAAACCAACACCAACAGAGGAGCTGTCAGCCAGTTTCTGGGGCTGCATGAACTCATCTCAGGAGTGAAAGAGTCAGCTTCGCTAGGAAAGTGCAGGAAACATCAGAAAGATCACAACTCCTGGATTTTCTCACAGTTACTCAGGTGACTTTGGCTAAATCAATGAATCTCTCAAATTATCCAGTTTTCTTTCTGAGGCATTTAAGAGGTTGACCTGGATATCTTTAGGGGCCATTGCAGCTTTTAAAAAACATATGTTCTGTTCCCATTTACTTTTTTCCACCCAAAGTTTATTTGTTAGAAATGAGATAAAATGAAAGGTAAGGAGGGGAGGGGGAAAATTATCAATGGTAAGTGATTGATTATTGAAGGTGAGCAAAGAAAGTTCAACTTCTGGGATGTCTGTGGGACATGGGTGGAGGTAGCCAGGCACACAAGCCAGGGCCCCAAAATCTGTAATGTTCAAGAGAGACTGCCTTCTCCAGTCTACTCTCCTGAACTGGTCATCATTGCCCACTTAGCACCGACATGCCCAAAGTCAGCAGAAATTATCCTGATATACAGAACAGGCTTACCCACCCCTCACTGGCAACTGGAACTCAGGGTCAAAACCCAACAGATCTTTAAATCCTAATTGTAAGGAACTAACATGGTGGAAAGGAGGCATGTTTAAAGTTGCAAAATCTTTCACCAAGTCCTCACCACTCAGAAATGGACTATGGGCTTTCTTGCTCTCCTTTCTGAACCAAAAAACAGCAGTGTGATTTTGACTTTGAGACACAGGTATTACAATGAGCAGTCGTGATTTGGAGTCTTCCTGATGCGTTGCTCAGAATATCGAGCATAGATATAACTGCAGATGCTTATTGAGTGAGCCCACTATGCTGCCCTCATGTTTCTGAGATGTCTCCTGTCCACTTTGGTTGGGAGCCAGCTTCTAGAATGCCCAGTGGTATTGTTTGCCTTAGAGCAAAATATGGCACCTGAAGCCTAGGCCTTAAGTACTGTAGCCACTCACTATGACTTTGTGACTTTGAGTTCCACCTTCTTTCACACCAAATAAATCATTTCAGTCAATACTCAATAGGCTCTAAAGGGAAATTCTGAATTTTTGCACAATTAGTGAACTATTAATACAGGATCTAGAAAATGTTTTGGGATTATTTGAACTTCATCATGAGTATCTTCCTAAGGAGAATATAGACACATGTAAATTGTCTGCCTATATCTACATGTGCATACTTGGTTGGAATGGCTTCAGAGAAGGACTGCCTGGAGTTAAAAAATTGACTCTAATCTGGGGTTCCCTTTGCACCTTACAGTTCTTGTGGATGAGACTGGCTTTAGAGATACTTAGAATGGTTCTGATGGGAAATCTGCCATCTTGTAATGGTTGGTCACTGTTGCTCCCAGGTTAAATGATCTGGACAAAAACATTCTGAGCACCAGAACATCATTCTTCCTTGTTGATTAATACATCACCACACAGGAACCAGACCTACTACACCTTTTGTGTGCTGGTGTAGAAGTCACTCATGGCAGATGAGTCATCCCCCAAGAGGGATGGTAAAGAGGGGATGTGAGGCATGGATACTTGATCACTCTTTCTGAAAGGCATTACTGACTTTAGTCAATGTGGTGAACGTTTGTCACTGTGTTGGGTATTAGGACTTTTGCTCTGAGCATGGGCTGCTCTGCCTGAAGGGACCCGAATCTTGGCTTCTGTTAGGGTTTCTGTTTGCCTGGTGGATTCTCCCCAAACAGTTTCTTTGGCTGCCTATACAATATTTATACTTTGGAACAAGAAATGCCTCTGGCCCAAGTTTCAATGTGCCAGTATAGATATTCTCAGTGAGATCTGGGGAGCATGAGGCACCTTGAGCATAGTCGGAATTCTTGATCAAAGCAATGAAGTTCATATTCTTCTTCCTTTTTAGCAAATTACTAAGTTCCAAGTTTAAAGCAAGGCCTGGTATGATATTTGCAGTAGGGAACAATGTCTTACATCAACAAAATAGGCTCTATCTCTCATATGGGAAAAACAGTAAGTTCTGTGAATTGTTTCTAATTCCATAGGAATATATTGCTTAGTGTGTGGTGCCGTGGTAAGATTTCAAGAGATACTTCTAGCAGACAAAACTGCAAGCTTCTTATAGATGTATCAAGACGGCATAGTTGAGGAAAAGCCACTGAATATTTATATCTAAGAAGCACCCAGGCTCTCAAGTCTTGCTTTGTGAGTTTAGTATATTAGGAGATTTGGTTTCTTTCCATCCTAGCTGATCAGAAATTTAGACATCCTTTCTGCAAGGATACAACCAGGCACAGACCCAGATCTCTAGTGTGTGCTCTGATATTCTTTTGCATGTAGCAGTCCCCAAACTCCGTGAGAAATGAGAACTTTCCAGTCTGTCTTTTTTTACTTAAAAAGAGTTTGTGGGAATACATTTTCAAAACCCCTAACTTTGTAATACTTTAAATACTAGGACACATTCAATTACTCAGTATCCAACCCCTGCCCTGAAATCCATCCATGTTCTGTCTCCATTCAACAACTACCTGACATTTACCTGATGACTCTGAACCCGCCTCTGGAGAAAATAAACAAACCTGATCCAGGTGATTTGATATCTGCTGTCTACAGTAGAGAAGTAAATAGATTCTCTCTCTTTTTTCTTTTGCTTTTTTTATTTTCCTTTTTTTTTTTTATTCTGATTCCACCGGACAGACAATCCACCTTCTCAAACTCTGTGAAAGTCTTAATAGAAGGTGAATCTCAGGACCACAAACAGTTTGGACTTCAAACAGTGAGAAAATTGGCACTGAATGATTCGACACACAAAGCAGAAAACTTTCATTTCCTGCAGGCAGGATGGAATTGACTGTTATATTAGACTTCTGAAAGAGCCCTGCCCTGGAGTAATTTCAGTGCTGTCAGACAATGTTGACATCTAGATTAACCTCTGTGCAGTGAATTTTACTGCAAAACTCATTGAGATGCATGTGGTGTGTCTGTGTAAATCCCATCTGGAACCCTCGGTGGCCCACCCTCTGTGACCCGCCTCTTTCTTCCCCACCTACTCTTCTCACAGTCTGTGAACTTTTAGCCTCCAGGAGCAGAGGAGCCACGCCTGGGGTCTCATCCTAGGACAGGGAGCTTTGGCCTGTGTCTGCCCACAGTGCTGAGTCAGGCAGAGTGATAGTGGTTGTCACTGTACTGAATTTCCCCGAGGGGACTGCAAATCAAAGTATGAAAACCACGAGGCTGATGACAAAGAGATTTGTAGCATATCGTGATGCTGCGCAAAGGGACGAACTGGTTTGTGGAGAATTAGTCTTGAGGCAGTTAGCCCTGCCCGGAGACCTCTAGCCTTTCAGAGCTTCGAAGTCCAGATGCAACAAGGTCATGATTGCAGCCGGGTGGGGCGGATGAATTCTGACGGAGGAGCGCTTTCTCTGCGCAGGTGTTTCCTTAGGCCCTTGCAAGTTGGGACGGAGGATTCAGCTGTCCTCTGAGCACTACTCTGTCAATTCTTTAACGACCAGTGAGCTCTAGAACAGGTCAAGCCCTGTCTAGCTCACTGTGTGATGGCACAGCGAGATGCAGCAGCCAGATGGGGCTCAAAGCTGAGAGCACAAATTTTCTACGACCTCGGGCTGTTACTGACATTGAAAGTCTTGAGAAAAGGCTTTCAGCTTGCTTTCAGTTCCCTTCATGCTCTACTGGCTCTGCAGAAATGTTCAGCACGACCATAGGAAGTTTTGGAAACTTCCCCCAAGTTAGGATACTGTACCCCAATATCTGTGGAGCAAATTTCTCTGCAATTTTTATGATTCTGAATCTCTTCTTTTGACTCTGTGTGTACGTGTGTGTGCTACTAGAGGCTGATCCCAGGGCCTTTTCGCTGAGCTACATCTCCAGCCCTTTTGTAAATTTTGAATAATTTAAAAAATAATTTTAAATAATTTCAGTATTCACTAAATCACCCAGTCTGGGCTTAAACTTGCCATCCTCCTGCCTCAGCCTCCCAGAGTGCTATGATCCTGATCTCTTTAAAACTAATTTTTCTACTTTGTCTCTTATCTTTAATATGGGTAGTAACAATTTCCTTGTACGTTCTTAGATATTTCTTTAGGAGAATTGAAAGTTTTCAGCAAAGGACATTGTGTTTAGTTTATTGATGGGGAAAACAGGTTTCTGGACTGAGTAACATTGCAGCTCCGTAGGGGCATTCTTGATGACTTTATTTAAAAGCAGTTATCAGAGCTGTGCTTTGATCTAGATGCTCAAGCTCACATTCTCCCAACTTCGTTTATCACGTTATTATTTATGTCATGACGCTTGACCACACACACATATATGCACACTCATGTGCACACAAATGCTTTAATAACTTCATGTACAAACTATGGTATCCCATCTGTGTTGCTTCCATTGACCACCGTGTGCATATGTGTGTGCAAATAAGAGGGAATCACACATTTGGTTTCTGAAATGTTGCTGTATCTCTGTCGCTATCAGCACACAGACTTTGGCTCTTTGCACTTTGGGTTGCTTACAGATTTAGTGGGGTATTTTTTTTTTGAGGGAGAAAATTCTGATATTCTCAAAATCTTTATATTTAAATGCAGGACTACTTTTCTTTGTAGAAACAAAAATCAAACTAAGCCTTGATTCAGTTTTTATTTAATTAATTTTATAGGGTGAAAGACACTGAAACAGTGCCTGCACAATAAATATTAAGTGCAAATATAAATGTGAATTAATGGAAGTAAGTTACTGAATTTATCTTGAGGCTGAAACAATTAGATGTAAAACCCAAACATTCCAGAGGGATTACTATGGGAAGTGAAAAGGGAGAAGCAAGAGAGCTGAGCTGGTAGCTAGCAGGCTGGGTGGGGTGTTCCTTGGCTGGATGACTAAACGTCGCCTCAATTATCTGAGCCAATGTAGGAAAGTTTCTTGTTTGAAGTGGGCAGCTGGCAGCAAGTTGCAGGCTTGTGCCTGCTCTGTGATTCGAGTGATGGGGAAAGCCAAATATATTCCTTTTTCATTGCTCAGATCAATTACAAGTAAAGTATCAAGATTCCCCATAGAACAAGTTTATAGACATCCTCAC